GAAGGTGGTGGCTCGGAAGGGCGGTCAGAGTTAGTGGACAGCTTGGAGGACGAGGAGGATTTGGACGAAGGTACAACAGTCGATGCGGTCCGTGTGGCGCAGTTGATCCAAAGGTGTCCCACAAGTCCAATTCGTGCCCGTAATGTCCGTTGACATCGTGGACACGTCGGAGACAATTGTGCGTTGGCATTGCGAGGTGGCACAGCTGGGACTTATGTGCTTCACGCTTGGCTTAAGCGTCCGCCATGCGATCGGTTCCATAGATCACAGTGCCTGTCTTCACTGTCTTCCTCCATGTCGGTCGGTCTTGGTCGAGGTCTACCGAGTTGGTCGGATTGATTTGCAGGCACTTTAGGGAAGACTTCAGAGTATCCTTGTATCGACGAATTTGTCCCCCTTTGTGGCGGGAACTCGTGGCGACATTTACATAGAAGAGTCATTTAGGTAGGCGCACCTCGTCCACCCGCACGAGATGGCCGCACAAGCACAGCTACATCTGTGTCAACATGGTGTAGATGCTGAGAATTCCCGTTTGTTCCAGTACATCGGTGTCGGGAATTCGGTCCTGCCACCTCAGCCTCAAGATGCGACGAAGACAACTGAAGTGGAAGTGGTAAATTCGGCGTGCCTTCTTCGTGAACAACGTCCAAGACTCAGCTCCGTACAGAAGCGTCGGGAGGATGACGGCCTTTTACATATTCAGCTTTCTGCTGAGCTGGTGACCGTGACGATTCCAAACTGTTCTTTGAATGCGGCCGGAGGCTTGACTAGCTTTCGAGATCCTGTTGGCGACTTCATCGTGCTTTTCATGCTGCGGAAGAGGGTACTGCCAAAATACGGGAGGTTGCTCATCACTTGCAGTTGGGTCCCATTCACGCTGATTTGCGGCGGCGCGTTGGGTGCTGTGGCTGAGTTGGGTGGCGGTTGATGGATCACAACACTCTTCTGCGTGTTGATGACCAGACCAAAATTCTCGCAGGCGGCGGAAAACAGGTCCATCCTCCGTTGCATCTCCTCTTCCGAGGTGGTGTTCAGGGCGCAGTCGTCGGCGAAGAGGAGTTCGTGAACGGTGGTTGTGGATACGCGCGATTGGAAGTGCATTCGCTGTTGATTGAGAAGGTGAGCGTCCGTCCTGTAGGCGATGCGGATCCCGGGGCGTTCGTCGCGGTAGGCGTCCATCAGCATGGCAGATAACATAGGACTGAAGATGGTGGGCGCCAGAACGCATGCCTGCTTCACTCCGATGTTCACTGCGAATGCCTCTGAGACAGATCCGTTGTCTGTGACTCGCGCCATCATGCCGTCGTGGAGCTGCCAAAACCATCTGAATGTATCGCTCGGGACAGCTGAAGTTTTGCATGATCTTCCTCAGTGCTTCACGATTCACCGTGTCGAAGGTTTTGCTCAGATCCACAAAGGTAGTGTACAAGTGGGTCCACATCTCCTGACACTTTCCCTGAAGTTGACGGGTTGCGAAGACCATATCCGTGGTTCCACGATGACGGCGGAAGCCGCATTGGACTTCCAGCAGAAGACTCTGTTCTAGGTGATCATTCAGGCGTTTGAGGAGGATGCGAACGAAGATTTTCCAAACGATATTCAGTAAGGAGATGCCTCGGTGATTGTTGCAGACCTTGAAGTTTCCTTTTTTTGTACGGATGCACAATTGTGGCGTCTTTGAAACCCTGCGGGACTTCTCCTTGACGCCACATCTCTTGGAAGAGCGCAGTCAGGTAATCCATGGGTTGGGGGCCGCAGTTTTTGTAGACTCCAGCACGGATCGCGTCCGATCCGGGTGCTTTTCCGTTGGATAGCTGTTGCACGGCCCTGATGGTTTCCTGGAGAGGGAGCGGGAGGTCGAGGTCCTCGCTGGTCTCCACCTGCGACAGACGGGCGAGGTCGGCGTCGAATATGATGGGGGGGTGGGGTGGTTCAGGACGCATTGGATGTGCTCGGCCTATCGCTGTAGAAGGTGTTCGTCAGGATGAGGCGGTGTTCTGCGCAGGTGCGGAGAAAGAGCAGACCATTGTCGATGGAGCCGCGGAGACCATGGGGACCGAGTAATCCTCTCCAGGTCTGTGCCGATGCGACTGATGAATTCACTAAGGACAATCAACTTGTTCGCTTTCGAAACAGTCACCAGGAGGGCGCGCAGGTCTTCGTAAAATTTGTCTCTTGCGGCGTCAGGGCTGGTCATCGGCGGAGCGTAGGAGCTTATGGTGGTGACGAATTTGCCATTCCAGAGAGGCAGACGGCGGCTCATCAGGCGATCGCTGATGCCCTGTGGCAGAAGGGGCATTCGTCTCACGATGTCGTTCCCGATGTCGAAGGCGACACCGGCGTCCCGTCGCTCTGCCCTGGGGCGACCGCTCCGGAGTAAGGTGTAGCCTGCACCCACCTCCTTTAGTTGGCCTTGTTCGGAGAACCGGATCTCGCCCGCCATTTCCCGAGCTGTCGTCCGTTCCGGTATCTCAGGCTGCCAGAGTGAGCGGACTCACCCAGCCAGTATGGCGAGTGGGGCGGCGGGAAGGAGGGGGAGAAGAAGAAGAATACGATTCAGACGAAGAGGAAGAGGCAGGAGGAGGAGGAGGAGGAAGTGGGAAAGCGTATTGTTGTTGTTGTTCTTGTTGTTGGTATTGTTTCGATTTCGGTTCTTTCGACCGTGAGTTTAGCGTCTGCGACCACGGTCAGCGAACAGACGACCTGGTTCCTCAGCAATCTTTACGGCACCTATCTTAGCCCCTCCCCTTCTGGGCGAGAAGTGTCACCATAAATAGGGCTGCCCGGTTGTACCGGCTCCTGCGAACTCCACTCTGGTGCACGAATTTTGTTGTAGTGCATTGCAGACTTTAAGTAACAACAAATAGCATCATCAAAGTAAATGCGGTGCGTGACTGATCTCGATAAATGTTGGCCGAAATTATGAAATTCGTTTCAACTAGAAAGGATTACTGAAATTGGGTTGTAAAATTGATTAGCATGCGGCGTAATCACGCGCCAGTATGTTCGCTTTTGCATGTACTTCTTTTCGACGCAGAAACCCATTCAGTGAAAAATGACTAATAAATTGGCATGCATTTTTTCACATGGATTTCCGATGGTCTTATATATTCCAATATATTTATTTTTTCCATTTGGTAGAAAATCACATTGTCTTCACAGATTAAAACTGAATACGGTGTGTACTTAGGTTTTGAAAGGTTTTCCTAATTCTTAGCTAATTTTGAGCAAAATCAGCCGTCAACACTAGGGTTTGGCGATTTCAGTCTACATGGTGCATGTTTTCCCCGTAAGGAAAATCGTATATTCCTCTGTGTCTCCACGAAGATACCATATAGAGTTCAGAAAATTTTGCAATGTATGCGGACTGTGTTGCATATTTAATGAAGACCAGTAGCAAACGGACATGTGCGATGCTGTATGTGTGGACATCGGAGGATCTAAAAATCTCATAATAAGCAACATTTTTACAATCGAGATATGACCATGTGAAGACAATGTGATTTTCTACCAAAAGTATAAAAGACACTATGTTCTTGAGCATGTTTTTTACAAAATACTTCTGAATTTACAAGACCATCAAATTTCAATGGAAAGAATGCATGTTGCATATGTAATCCTATTTTTACCAAGTGGGTCTCTGAATAGGGTCGAAAATAAGCGCATTTAAAAGCCCAACGCCTGGCGCATTATAAATACTATAGGATTATGCCGCGGGATAGTCAATTTAACAACTCCACTTAAGTAATCCTTCGTAATCGAAAACCTATTTCAGTATTTTGGGCTCCTCTCCTACCACAGGAAATTCACGCGAGTCAATCATCCTATCGCGACATATTTAATCAGAGCTGTAACTTGTCTGTCTCTTATCTTTCTCATTTGCTTTGAACGATATTTTGATGACCTGACTTAAGGCTCAAAAACTACTCATCGTCCATGAAATCGGTTACATTCGGAGCTGGTGAAAGAGCATCAGTGCCGAGACCCTCCACAATGAATATGTTCATGCTGTCGTGGGAAGTTATTCTTGAGGAAGAGGAGGAGGAACAAATAGAGGAAAGTATATCATCTTTACATCTCCAAAAGAAGCATTCTGCCACTATCGTAGAATAGAGTTTCATAGGGCTCCGCAAATCACATCCATTTCAAGGATAGGCTTAATTCCAGAGAATGAAGGCTTTCAGATTCGGGGAATTTATTATTAGGGGAATAGTAAGGTACCACTACGGCTTGGCTCGTCCGCCCAGTGGCATTTTGAGTAGAATATGTGCAATTTCTTTGCGTTTTCGTGTGCTGGAAATGGTTTAGATTGTGCCCAGACTGCCAAGCGGAAAGAAATGTCTTTCCTCTGACCACACCTTCCCCGGACTGGAGAGGTTGGTTCGACGCCAAAATCAGTGTCGCGGGCCTTCTTTTCTAGCTTCGATCGCAATTCCTGAGTCCTACAATCGTCTGCATCTCGTCGTAGGCTGTCTCAGGCGGCTTCTACTCTACGGTATGATTTGATAAATACTGTCGGTGGTTATAACCAACCTATAGTATGATTTCGGTAATATTCGGTTTTTGATTGCTTCGAGTCACTGGGACCAAGCGCACTGCGGAATGTGGACCCAGTAATTCAACACTGTAATGCGCACTAAAACACTGATTCCAGCAGTTGTCGACGTCAAAATAAAGTTTCTGGAACGGGCATGCAACCCACGCCCGCCTACGTTTGCGATGATTTCTGCATTTTAGGATGATCATTGAAAGAGAAGTGACCCCCGCTTCGCAGTAACGATGCTCCTTGTTTGAACACGGGTATAAATACATCTTCATATGGCCGGTCACCTTACGTGAAATTTGAGACACTTTGTCTGCACCCGCGTCCAGTCTCGAACCGTGACTATTAAACCTAACATCTCCCAAAAGTTAGTGCATGACCGTCCGGGGCTACTTATGGCTGTGCTCTACTTCCATGACTTTTATGTCTGGAATGCATCCTTTTCGCTGATGCAAATGACTGACAATGCTTTCTTTAGAGTAGAAAGGTAATCATTGCTCTCTCACTAATTGCTATAGATGCTAGTAGTCAACTTAGTGTGGATATGTATATATATTATGACAGTGGGCGCTCGCCGATCAGGTTACGGAACATGCTCGTTCCGTTGTGCCTTGGGGCTCACACTAGAACCCTCGCAGGCAGTCGCACAGCGACTAGTAGAAGACACAGATGAGATGATACCGACAAAGACAAGGGAGATCGGAATGGCCATTTCTGGCTTATTAGCCGTCATCAGCCAGTCATACCCAGCCCCAAGTGTGGATCACTTGAGATTCTAACCCAAGATCTTGAGTCTTGGAGTTTGGCGCTCTACCATTGAGCTATATATATATATATACATTAATCGTGCGACTGCCTGCGAGGGTTCTAGTATGAGCCCCAAGGCCCAACGGAACGAGCATGTTCCGTAACCTGATCGGCGAGCGCCCACTGTCATAATTGATATTCCCGATCACAACCGACAGGACAACGGGCCCGTGGCTCAATGGTAGAGCGTCAAACTCCATGACCAAAGATCCCGGGTTTGAATATCAAGTGATCCACACTTGGGGTTGGGTATGACTGGCTGATGACGGCTAATAAGCCAGAAATGGCCATTCCGGTCTCCCTTGTCTTTGTCGGTATCATCTCATATATATATATATATATATATATTGCTTAAAGAAGCAAATATTGGAGTCCCACGCAAAGTTGTGTCCAGTGTCTAGAGTGTTCATGGCCATTTGAGACAGGTGGTGTCGCCTTTTCACTGCCAGTTTATGTTCATGTATGCGCTTAGATTCAAGGTCCGGATATATTTTCGTGTTTATCATCCCCCGAAGAAGACGAAGAAGAGAACGTGATTTCATGAACCAGGTTGTATTTACTGACGCTTACTGACGTCTCGGAAACTCTCTCGTTTCCGTCATCAGAGTCACCGCTGGCTTTTCCTGCTGACCTTGGTTTGTTCAGCCTTGCCTCCTGCCTCGTATTATAACCGTGCTCAATGCACGTGTGTTGGCTGGCCTATTTGCAGTTGGCTGGTTCTGGCCTTTCTGATTTCGACCATTGGCGGGCTCGCGTGGCTTGCGGCCCCTTCGCGGCTGTCGCGGTCGCCGCTGAGTCAGCGTGGTCATCGGCCTCCCCCACGTCAGACGGTGGACCGGTCTACCATTGCTGCTGCGGTGTGGTGGTTTCGGCGTCGCGGGTGCGTTCGTGAGATAGTGTGCTACGCCGTTTAACTGACTTCTGGTCGGCGCCTTCTCTTTCCTTCACACGTGTCGGCAGTCGGCCCCATGTGATTTCTTTCACCCCTCCTGGCTGTCTGACCTTAGCTGTGTGTTGAGTGTCTGGTAGGCGGGATGTAGTTCTATGGCTCGGTTAAGAGATCCAACAACACTGTAGACAGTCTTCTCGGGCAGAAATTTGAATTGACCGATCATCAGTTAAAGCGGACGCACGCACTTGAGCTCCTGGATTTGTGCCTCAAGACTTTCTTCGCATTTAACGGCCAAGTGTACGAACAAAGGAAGGGAACGCTGACGGGCTCGCCTCTGTCTGGACTAATTGCTGAAGCGGTTTTACAGAGGCTCAAGCAGCTACTATTCACCTCTTACCTGTTGAAGTTCTGGGCTAAATATGTCGACGACACTTTTGTCATAATAAAAATAAACGTCGTACAGGCTTCCCAAAGCACTGTTGAATTCAATTTTTCCCGACCTCTAGTTTACCACGGCGGAAGAAGCCCACAATCAGTTGCCCTTCGTTGATGTACAAGTTACAAGAATGGCAGACGGGAATATGGGGACGACGGTTTACCGTAAGGCAACTAACACTAGGCGCATCCTCCACTTCAAAAGCAACCACCCCATCGGTCACAGAAACAGTTGTGTCAGGACCCTCTGTCAACGCGCCCAAACTAGCTGTAGCAATGAAGACGACAGGAAGAAGGAGGTGAAATACCTAAATGCCCTATTTGATGACAACAGTTACCCAAAGTCGTTCATACGCAATTGTCTCAGGAAATTCCACTCTGGGCAGTCGATCGTGAGAAGCCAAGATTCTGGCTGTCGATCCCCTATGTGGAGAATGTTTCCGAGACGGCGTCAAGAATCCTGAAATCTTTTGTGATTGGTGTGGCTTATAGACCGGCATCCACAATCAGAACAGCATTCAGCTTACTCTATCAGATTCGGTGGATTCCAGACGTTGTAGTAGGTTGGGCGTTTAACTTGACCCAAATGTGATGAAACTCGCGTCGTCCGGCGGGGTCTCGTAGCTCAAGTGGATAGAGCGTTGTCTGTACTAAAGCCATTCCCCTTACTAAGTGGATTTGAATCCCGCCGAGGTGCCGAGATTTTCACAGCTGGATCAATGTGTTTTTTTCAAAATCTGCCAAAACATCTATGAATAACGAGAAC